CATTAGTTGGTAGATTCTAACGAGACATTAGCAATCTAGGCTCTATGATACTCTGTAGAAGCCGTCTGCCACTATCTGTGATGATCCATATAGGCCGGCTATCACGGCCTGTGAGAGAAGGAGTGGAACGAATGCGTCCAAATTTCTATCCTATATACTTCAACACACCTTTTAGATCGTGTTTCACAAAAACTCAGCTCGAGAAGTTCAGTTAGGTTATATATGAAATTTGAAATCTAAACACTAAAACATCGGTAACCTATTCTATAGTTTTATACATCCTCCTTCTTTATTCGCTTTGTTTAATAATATGACAAGAATAGTTTAAAAGAAAAATAAAAGATTGCAACAATAATCAAATGTTGAATGTAATGTTATCGTTAAGTTTGAATGAAACGTTATTTTATTACATGTATATACACACACATTGATTTATTATTTAAAATAAATAGATATCGGAGTGTACCGATGTGAGAGAAAGGATGAGCATTCATTCACGTTCAACAAAATGTTCTTGCCAGCAGATTCAATTTGAAAATTTGTTTTGTTTCAATTTTGCATTCAGACCAGTTCATATGTTTGTTTTTCTTTGTCACATGTCTGAATGAAAATATTTCTATACAAGAGCATGAAAAGATAAAGAACTCACTAGAAAATACAATAAAGAACATATATTGATTCATACAGAGAAAAAACATCAAGAACGAATAGAACTGAACATATCAAAACAAACAAAAAACAAAAGCTGGCATAATATATCCATGCATGGAAGCAGAATTAAAGGAAAACCTCGATGAAATACACGTAGACAATAATGTTACAATAATAATATAAAGAAAAAAAAATGATACCATTTAACATGTTTTAGATCTTAATCGACAATGATCATCTGCATCAATTTCTAGTTGTACATTATTTTTTAATTTCGGAGAATTTCCTTTCGGATTGGAAAGTAAATGTTTACTTGTATAATGTGGTTGTTTATTATTTTGATTAATAAATATTTGTTGATGTTTATTAAAAGAACAACAACATCGTAAATAAGCATATAAAGCTGATCGATAACGTTTTGACATAAAATAATATGTTAATGGATTACATGATGCTGATGCAAATGAAAAAAGAAGTATTAAATCAACATAAATATTTGGTGTTGTACGATAAAAATTTTTATTAAATGTTCCAATTGTATGATAAATAAATAATGGTGTCCAACAAATAAAAAATTCCATAATTAATGTTATTAAAAGTTTAAGTGCTTTACGTCGATTACGATCTGTACGACATAAACCTTGTGATGATGCACAACTATATGTAATACTAGTTTTTCGAGAATTTAAATGATAAAAATATTTTTTTATTTTATTATCATTATTATTTTGTGATAAAACTTGATTTATTGGATGAGATATAGTATATGTTTGATTAAGTTGTTGTTTTGTTATAGAATTATTCGATTGATGATGTTCTTTTTGATTATTATCATCATCAATACTTAAACCTGATCTTGATTTAATACTACTACCAAATGATAAACGTTGACTAAATTTTTCAAAAATTGTTGATTTTTTTCTTTTATCTTTAATTAAATCAGAATTTACTAATCGAAATTTTGAACATTTTTTATATGAAAGTAATTGAGGAGATGGAGGATTTGAACGACTTTTAGTTGAATTACTATCTTAAATAAATTAAGATTTATTTTTTATTTTAATAAATTTAACAACAAAAACAAGATTTACTTTTCAATGATCTCATTTGTAATGCTATATTATTTCTATACATTTTTCGAATAATTAATGTATAAAGAACAATCATGACAACCATTGGTATCACAAAATAAAAAGCTAAATAAAACTCTTGATGTTTTTTTTTTCTTTTAAATTTAAATTGTTTTTCTTACCATCTAAAGTGATCATATAATATTTTTCATCAAATTCTTGTGGTGATGTTTTTTCACATTTATAACGACCAGGTGTAGGTAATGAACATAAATTATACATATATAAATTTGGTAAAGCTGTCAACAGACCTAATGACCATGTTGAAAATAAGATAACAGCATTGACAAGATTAGAAAATCGAACAGATTGAAGTTTTAATATAAGTAATGGACGACATATAGCTAAATAACGTTCAATACTTATACAAACAAGTGTAAATACATCTACAGCTACACTTAAACCTAGAAGAAAAACAAACAACAATGAAAATATCTTTTTCAGATTTCTCTTTTTTCCCATAGATTCATTTATTGATTTTTTTTTTCTATTTTCAATCGTACAAATCATTTATATTGTACTCTCAAGGACATCATATTAAAGTTTCTCCTTGAAAATATTGTATGACTTTTTCAAGATCTATAGTATTCTTTTTTGTATATTATATCAATAATAGATTACAAAGAATAATATCTAAATAAATAACTATCTAATTATAATGTCAATTGGTAGTCTATTTATGAACATTATTTTAAAGGATTTTCTTTTCTAAGATTATTTCATGATCAAAATAAACACAAACGAGACAATGAAGTTTTGCATGTTGTCTAATATGCTATAGACTAAATAAATAAAGAAATTTTCTTCTGAATCAATTATTTTCTTTGATGTTTGAAAGAGAAAACGTATTCCTGGTGCGTGATTAATGACAAAAAAAATTATCTTCATGTCGGTTGTAAAAATAAATACTATTTTTTGTCAAATAGTATGCAGATTAAATTATAATTAAGCAGATGTTTTCCATAAGATTGCCTTTAACTAGAAACATACAATATTAGTTCTTATTAATGTTAAGAATATTTTTACTATTGCATTATTTTCTACCTAATGAAAAATCTTATGTATTATGAAATATCTATATTATTTTAAAATCTAATGTTGCCCTATGACCTTCCATTCCGAATTTGACAATCACATACTCGACATTTTATATAGATATGAACTTCTTAACTTATAAATATAGAAAATTCAATCATATTCAATGAACTGTAGATAAAATAAGTATGATAATCAATTTTCAATGAAAGCTTTGATTTGCAATTATAAATTCTCTCAAATAACTTCCGCTTTGTCAATTCTCAAATGAAAATAGAGAATAATCTTTTTTGTTACGGTTCATAGATATGTTGATAATGAAAAAAAAAATAATTCTATCTTTTTCTTATCATTTACACTCTATGACATAATACAAGTTTTTTTTTTTTTATTCTTTCTTAAATTTAGAAAAAAAAAACCGTTATTCATAACTCATCCTTAATGATATAAAATAAATAAAATTTTACCTTGAACAATTGGTAAAATTTTACAAAGCATCTTTCCAAACATAAAGGTTTTTTTCATTCTTGCTATAATTGTAAAAGGCATAAAACATGCACGTAGTAAATCTGCACATGCTAAATTAGCTAAATATTTATTATTCGTTATTCGTATTGGACCTTTCGAACCAAACATAACAATAAGTGCAGCTGTGTTTCCAATAAATGCAAGAACAAATATAATTAATGATATACCATTTGTTATCCATTCAGCATCACTTATATGTGAATGATTTGAATGTGAAAATAATATTGAAGAATTTCGATATATGAATGTTCCACAGAATTTTGTTACCATTTTAGATTCTTTTAAATGTATATTTCATCTAGAAAGAAAAAAAAAAACTCTAAGAAATTTGACTAATTGATGCATAAAATATTTGTATATATTTGTTCTTGCCATTCCGAATTAGATTTCCTGTCGTTGTTTATAAAAATAAATCTATATTTCATTGACTGTTCATTATTCATAGGAAAAGAAAAAGAAAAATTCTCGATAAACTCTAAATCTAACTAACAAAAGATAATCATTTCAATATTTTGAATAAGAAAAATTGTTTTCATTTAATAAAAAATACTTACTATAAAAAAACATAATTTTAATTCAATTTATCATATAGTCTTCATTATTTGGAATGCAAAACAATTTTATTATTGATTATACGCTCGATCTTGTGTCTATCTTTTTGTTTTTGTTTTTTTTTTTACAAAACTAAGATAGACATTAGTAAACTTCGCCCACCCATTTACAAAGCATAGTGAACAAGAAGAGACATATTCCCAATAGAATTTGTGCTAAGTATTTCATTCGTTATTCATTCATGCTATTGATATAGGAGAAACAGACTAATAATTAGTATTCATAATCAAAAAATTTTCTTTCTCTAACAACAGATACATATCATATATATGGAAATGATTATTTGCATTTGAGCTTTCTATATATAAAAAGCGACAAATTCTTTTCTAAGTTAGATTGTGTGAAATAAATCTCTAATTGAAAGTAACATGCACATAGAATGATACAAATGCATCGTTTTATTTTTTTGTTTTTTTTACGATAAATAAGCTATGTAATATTGCGCTGTAGAAGTTGCAATTGGTCAAAGATAAAATAAATGTAGATATGATCCACTTTTTCAATGATGGAAAACAAGAAAACTCCTTTCGTTTATATAATTTAATGTAAATAGCTAACTAGAAAAATGCCTTCAAGGCAAAATACAGCCGTCACATCCTCAAGACCATATAGTAAAAACATTTTCCGATCGTTAAAAAAAAATAATTTATATTGACGTCAAATAGTTCTTTCTTTTAAACAATATAAAAAAATTATCATATTTACTTACACATTGTTTTTTTGAAAGAAACTTCACCGAAGACCTTTACGTTCAATAATTTATTGTTTGAAAAAAATAAAAAAAGCTTTCATATAAAATATTTAATTAATCGTAAAATCAATACTCTGATTAGAATCATATCAAGTTTAGAGTGTATCTTCAAATGATGAAAATTGACCAAAATTACAATCTATTTATTCTAATCTTTATTGGAGAAAGTCAAAAAGAAAAAAAAAGGAAACTTTTTTATAAATCAATAATTCGATTGAATATTATTCATTCAATGCATACATAAATAAAAGAATAATAATATTTTTAGAAACGATGATTTCGTTTGCTTCATATTCTATATCGTGATCATTTTTGTTTTTCGAACAAAAGAATTCTGTTTATTGTATTATGAAAAATTTTCTTTTTCTATATATGCATCTTGTTTTGGTCATGTATTGAATTTTTATTATCAATGAAATTAACTTTAAAAAGTTATCGAAATTATTGTATATAATATTCGATCAAAAATCGATTGTTAGTTTTTCTTTTTGTTGAATAAATCAATTATGATAAATTGATTATACTTTAAGAATGTTGTAGTACCTCTTCAATATTTATTTGTGTAATCGAGATCTATTCTCATTGTTAGAAGGAATCTCTAGGTTTTTTTTTCGTCTTGTTTAAATAAGAAACAATTTTTTACTTACTTAAGATTTTTTTTTTTCTTCTGAAAATATGTAAAATCCTTGATGAACATGTCTTCTGCCAACAGTTAAAAAGAAATAATTGTTTATCAAGTAAATGACACTAGAAAAAAAAATGAGGTAACCACTTATCATCATCTATCTATGAAATGCATGTGTAATGAACATGCTTTTTTTCTATTTCTATGTGGATTTTCCTTTCTTTTTCTGTTGGAGAAATAAGCACAACAAATAGTTCCTTCCGTTTCTATTCGTAATTATCAGAATATTATTCGTCATATACAAGTAGTGCTTAATGATCAAATAGAATTTATTATTTAAATAACACACACAGGGTTAACTATCACTTTCAATTCACTTCACACGAAATCAAAGGACATTAAAAAAGAAATCCGGATATCCTAAACATCAATGTATTTATTTACTTGTTTTTATTTTTATACTACTATAACGAATTATTGTGTTCTTTGAATTAAATTAACAACATATTCAAATAGAAATTTATCAAATTTAAAGTTTTTAAAACCAAGGTAAAGAATTCTATAGATATATGTATTTACTAATAAAGCAACTATAGGCAAGTAAAAATAATAGGTTAATTATTATTGACAAAAATAAACACACTATATTGCTTGGAGACAAAATGACTTTAGAGATAATGATTATAATACATCTGTCTCTGTTTAGATTATTAAAGTACAATTCTCTGATTGTATTCAATTATATTTTATTATTAAATAACAAACTACAATATTATTTACTATTCTATAATAATGAACAAGTAGTTCATAAGATTTTTTTTTTCAAATGATTTAGTAGAAGATTATCCATAAACAAGAAATATTTAATTCTGTTAAGTAAGGAAAAAATCAATAATAATTCATTGATTAATATAGCTTCAAGCATCTTACTTTCATATAGTACTAAATACTAATAATAAAGTCAAATATTCTGCTTCATTAAATAAAATAATTTTCACGTATAAAAATCTTGTTTAATGATAGAGTTATTTACGAAACAATAGTACTATTTTTAGCACATTTTGTTTTTGCCAGAAAAAAAAATCTCGCGAGATTTTATTGTCAGTCTCTTAGCAATGAATAAAATCAGATCTTTTTTTTTAAATGACAAACTAATAATGGAATGAATAGATCAATACAATATTTGTTTAATACACACTCTAAAGATTATTGAATTATTCTTAAGTACGAAAAATATAAAATAAATTTGTTCGCGTGATATGTTATGTTTCTTTTAATAATTAACTCCTTTATAATTACCGTAAGAACGTAGACAGTTTTTCTAGAAATGCGCGCGTTCTGAATATCATGATTCAAATGTGTGAGAAAATTTGTTGTTTTAGTCAACTTTTATTTTAAATCTGTCTTTTGTTTATGTAATAACTACTGAGTACAAATGAGAACATTCATTATTAAATAGTAATCATTGAAAGTCGACAATTTTACTTGGTTTTTGGTTTTTGATAGTAATAAGTACTTTATTAGAAAAATAACTTTCTTTCTTTCTTTCTTATAGAAATACAGAATGTTGTTTGGCATGGTGACGTTCAATCTTAATGAGAAGAATTTACTACTTTTCTTAATTGATGTAAGAGAAACTTTTTTAAACGAACAACTTTACTTATTCTTATCTTATTACAGAAAATTTCAATGAAAGCAACTAATTTCTAGTTTTTTTTTTAACACTTAGGCACTTTCCATTCCATTATTTATAATTTTTGCCTGACATTATTTATAGATTGATAAGATATTCCATCCTGTTATGACCGAAGTTCTCTTCCAAAAAAACGATTTTTTTTTATAATGTTGTTATGTAATAGTAGATCAGTTAAACATTTACGGAATGGCCTGACGTTATGTTTAATGATATGATACAAAAAAAAAACCAAAATTGACATTATATCTATGAGTATGCAAAATTTTAAAAATAAAATTTATGTTTTGCCATTTGATTATCCCTTGAGTATAATTTATTTTGTTAGACTCTATGATCCATGAAAACATATTCATCTATGATAATTTTGATTTTTTTGCGTAGAAAATTTTTATTATGTATTTGACAACAATTATCATAGTATATCTTGAAAATGTCAGTTAGTTGTTAACAGTTATTATGAAATTAGATTTTCTTTGACATACTGTGCATTCATGTTCAAGAATAATCCTCGTATAATTTTCTAAAGAGGTTTTTTAATTTTATCAAATGAAGATCATATACAACAGTAATTTTACTGGTTTTCTTTTTATAAAGAAATTTTATTCTTTTATTAGAAAAGCATCTAGAGAAATGTATTGAGTTTTTCTGATTTATTCCGATTTTTAATTATTGATAAAGATACAAGTGCATAAACTTTCTTTTGCATTTTAGCATAATCATCAAGGTTTATGTCTGAATAATTGATTTTATTTTAACAAAAAAAAAAAAAAAAAACAAGAATTGATAATTATTTTTGTTCATTATTTGGAATGTAAATGATGGTGAGATCAGGAGAAGGCAAAAGAAAACATTTCGTTTGACATTGTATAGAAGTTAATTCTTTTTTTCTTTCATCAAATTTTTCTTGTAGCATTTTTTTTCGATTGTCAGGCGTTGGTGATGCACGACCCTCTTCTGCTACAAATTTTGTTGTACCAGCTCGAATTAATGATGGACTATCACCAATAACTTTCAATAATGATGTTACTTTTTCATTTATTGGTAATTGTTTTGCTAAGAACAAAAAAAAAACAAAGGATTTTCTTTTAAAAATAGAAAAAACAAAAAGGATAAAAAAACCTTGCGTCGTTAATTTATTAATTGTAGGTGCTGCTTGTCGAGTAACCATCGATGAAAATCGTGAACCGAAATCTTTTATTTTATTTATTGTTGCTTTATTATTTGAAGTTGCAGCATCACTTATTGTAGCAAGAGGTGGCATATCTGTTGCAGAAAAACTCATTCGTTTTTGAAATGGTTCGACATCATCTGGTAAACTGTTCATTCTGTATAGAATTAAAACAAAAAAAAAAACAACATTTATTATATAAATATATTTATTTATTTAATAGAAAAAAAGAATTAAAGATCAATCATTGAGTAATAGAATTAATTCTTACTTACAAAATTAAATGATTACTATAATAGTTTTAATTTTCAATTTGATTAGAAAAAAAAAACGAAGACTTTACCTATTTAATTTTTTTTCCTTAAGTTCAAGTGATTTTTGTACAAAAGAATTAACAATTGATACAATCATGTGACCG